GTTGCCATATCTTATATATAAAGCTGAATGTCTGTTTGTCTGTATGTCTGTATGTCTGTATGTATGTCTGTACGTATGTTCCGTATAGAAAATTCCATTTCTCAACCGATCCGGACCAAACTTGGCACGCATACACTTCGGGCCCCGGCGGGTATCATAGGCTACTTTTCGTCATCGATCGATATCGATTTTATCGATTTTTTGCAAAATTTGAGCTACAGGGCTGGGAGTTGGCACAGGGGGGTATCGAGCATGCTGATTACAAATATATTATTGACAGGGCCGGGCGGAGCAGGGTAAGCCATCTAGTGTTTTTATAATTTTTGAAACTACCAAATTAGTACTTTTGCAAGGCGAAAAAACCAGAATTTTTATTATTTACAATTTTTGCTATAGCTAGAGATGCTGTTAATATTTTACAACACTTCAATGTATACAATATAGAAGAGGGTTCGCGCTATGTATAGTAGTTTTCCTTTCGCCAGGAGCTGTTCTTGCATAAACGGAAAATAAAAGTTCGCGAATGTTATCTCGTGCCAGTGGCCATCCGTCTTCGGAACAAATTTAACACGTTGACGATGAGCTGTTTTTTTGACGTCTGTCCCTGTGGACGAACCGTTTCCAGGCATTTTCGCAGCCGGCTGCATATATGTGTGCATGCATCTATGCGTAAGGTACAAAAATGCAAGTGGGCGGGGAAGCTCCGCCCACTTTTGGCAAGCCCCGCCCACTTTTCAAAATTGCTGGAAATTGCTCAAAATCAATGAATTCGTGCAAATTCCGGCATTTTTTGAAAAGTGGGCGGAGCTTGCCATTCAGGGGGTGGGGCCTGCATAGTGGGGGGCGGGGTCAAAATCAAGATTATTTGAGGTTCCCCGGTCATCTACGAGCTTTTCTATGCGATTTGAGAACGAAAAAAGTTTTTTGTACAGGGCAACGGAGTGGGCGGAGTTTGCTAAAAAAAGGGCGGGGCCAACATGAAAAACTTTCGAGCCTAGACTGATTATGTGAACACAAATTGGAACCATTGGGCACATTCGAACTGGAATTTAGGGTGTCGCGCACCATTGCGCGACATCGTCCACAGGGACAGACTGCCTGTCGCGCACCATTGCGCGACACTGTCGTCAACGTGTTAAAAGCTATAGAAGCGCAACAGGCACTGAAATCAAGGTTATATTCTTAGCATGCGTTTCAAATAAAGGTTTATTGAAACTCGGTCAAGGAAACACTATTTATACTTTTTAAATGATAATTTTTCGCTTTCTTTCGCGCAATTGTAGCCAAATTTCCGATATGCGACGTACACATGCTTCTAATTGAAAATCCAATCTTTTTATTCCTATGCAATGCAAAAAATTCTTCTGGAAGTATGTTGTAGACAAAAGTTTGCTCTATCATGCTGGGCATTTGTCAAGGTAAAAGGAGCAGTTTTTGTGAAGGCGTGAGGCGAATTGCATTACGACTACCTGCGTGCCATGGCAGGTGAACTTGCCAAGATTTTGTAGGGCCGCATGAAAGCCAAAAGGGGCAATTTTGAAATTTAAGGCCTGAGCTGATCTGCAATGGCTCAAATTATGTGTGCGCCAAATTTTTCGTTTCTAGGTACTTCCCTTCTCATTTTGAATGAAAAAGTGCTGGGCTCCTAGACTTTTGACGCATCCTGTATTAAGGCATGTTTTTTGTTCTTTGAGGAAGAAGCCGTTAGGAATTGTTTATTACTACTATTGCATTTTTCAATCGTGGTTGAGAATTGTTCGAAATTTTTCTTCCGAGGCAATCAATTCCTCAATGTTTTATAATTTAACCTAAGCTTTTAGTCTGCTTCAAGATTTCATCAATAAAAATGTGTATTTTCCCTTCCGCCTCCTAAATTCAAGCATGGTTGAAGCAGCTAACTAATCAAATCGACTCTCCGTTATGGATTCTTAGATAACCTCGCCCACCTTGTTCCAGGTAGAAAACGAAAGAATTGAGACGCTGTTCACGTGAAATCTTACTATTATGTCTTTGGTAACTGCCAAAGCGATGCGATGAGGGTACTCTCCTCCCCCATATGCTCTACCGTTGTGCTCTTACAGTGTTAACAGCAGATTCGCGACAACGAGGGCAGTCCAGATTATGCGGCGACGAAATATAACTGCGATACATGAACTAACACGGATGTGCAGAGAAACGCCGAGAGAGTACTGACGAGCGCATGCACTCAAGGAGGATCCACATAATTTGCATAACAGCGACGTAGAGTTGATGGCGTTCGTAGTTAGTTTCCAGACTGTATGCACTTTAAGTGCAAATTATAGAGCTTGCTCCGCATGGAAAGTGCAAATATGGCCAACAGTCGTCAAAGATCACCGAAGATCACCTTCCTATTTATAAACAAGCAAAGAAGTGATCAAGTGCGTGTCATGTACAAACAACAACGAAATATTGATTTCAGAATACCGAATCAGTGCAAATGTCTGACCCCAGTTGCTATCGTAATTCGAAAAGCTGTCGCCCATTTTGCTTCCTATCCTGCCTAACTTCTTACAATCATTAGTTTTCGAAAAGCACATTATGATTTTGAACAATATGAAGGTTAGGAAAGCAAGATAATATAACCTATCAATTTTACGGGGAGTGTACTTTTTGAAAATATTACTTTTGCCTCTGGAAATAGAAGAAAACAGGAAGAGCTACGTCTTGTTGGAAGAAAAGAATCAGTCGATTCATGCGGTAGTGCATTTTTCTAAATTTCCTGGAACATTCTGCTAAATTTCTAGAATTAAATGCTGATTCTCACAAAAACCTGTTGAATACTTACTTTTGGATGGTTTTACATTGTGAAAATATTGTTGTTGCCCCTGAATACAAATGAGCAGAGGGAGCTCGATCTGCTGGAAGGAAAGACGTAACATATCCACTCGAAAACACATTTCTTCCAAGTAGATTTCAATGCGAAAACTACAGAAACTTGCTGCATTTGTTTTTGGCGGCCTCACTTTTTGAAATCCCTACTTTTGCCAATAAAAACAACACAGCAGAGGGAGCTTGTCTTAATGGAAGAAAAGACCTAGTGTTCATGCGGCAGTACATTTTTGATATGATTCTCTAAGTTTCAGTGCTGAATCTCACAAGAAAGGCTTGAAATTCAGTTTAACCGCTTTTATCTTGCGAAAACCGTACTTCTGCTTCAAAAAGCATAAGTCTCGAAGAAAGGAAAGCTTGACTTTATTCGGCAGCGCATTTAGGCTAAGGACTTTTCAGATTCAATGCTAAATCATGCAGAAGCTTGCTTGAAATTCACTCTTGAGTACCCAGAGGGCTCATGCGACGGGAACTTTTTGCTAGGATTGTCCAAGAAAAAGCTTTGAGCGAACTTTGGTCTTACTTCAAGAAATGACCGTTTCTTGGCGAGACTTAATAAGGATAGTATAGGGCTGCGCATGATCGCGAAGTGTGTTGTGGTGTTAGCGGCCGTTGCACAGTTCCTGAGTGTCAGCTTGAGTTTCGGGTTGAATCAACTGTTCTACATAGATTACTGCCGAGGTGATCTTCATGTTTAGTAGCTGTGGTATCTGGGTAGGGTACTTGCAAGAAGATCAGCGTAGATGATTTGGGAGTTACTCACTGTGAAAAGTTTTCTTGAGAGCATAATCTTACTTCTACTACTACGTACTTACGTCGCGCCAAAAGTTGAGAAAATGGAAATGATCTTGAAATGAAACTTTGAAAGGAGTCTGATCTTGCTTCTATTACTACTTGCGAGAAAGATAGTTGAAAAAATGGGAATTCATTCTCTTGCTTTATTTAGTTGCACGCAGACAGTTATCAATGTATCTGCCCCAACCCACTTGCTAGCGGCACGTACGGTCGCTACTGCCGCAGGACATTTTTGTTAGGAATTCCTTGTTTTCAAGGCTAAGTTATGAAAAATTTCCTTGAAATCCACTTCAAGCAAAAATTCTTGTGCTCTCAAAAGCAGAAAAGTAAAGGAGCTCTGCAAGAAGAACACCGTAGATGATTTGAGAGTTATTATTGTAAAAAGTTTGCTTGAGAGCATGATCTTACTTTCACGACTACATACTTACGCGCCAAAAATCGTTGAGAAAATGGAAGTCCATTTTCTTGCCATTTTGAGCTGCATGCAGATAGTTATCAATGTATCTGCCCTAACCCACTTACTAGCGACCCGTAGGGTCGCTATCTAATATAAGCTAATTGACCGCCATGTTCCGAGGGTCTAGTGTCTCAAACTGAGGCCCCCCGCCAGAGTACCGAAGCCACGCCAGCGCTGCGCCGTCGCCGAGCCAGCGCCGAGCTGTCCCATTTGTTCGGGGCGGAGCTAGCTGACTCTGGGCGGGTAAGGGCTACCGGAGCTTCTAGCAGATTCGATCAATAGTCGGTGCATCTACCCGGCTGAGAACTAGCTCAGCTAGCCCCGCCCCAACGAAAAGCACGTGTATCGATCGAAACAGCGCCGGCGCAGCGCTGGCGTGGCTTCCGCACTCTGGCGGGAGCCTGAGGCAGACCAAAATTGCGATGGTATATCTCCGTTTGCATCGCAGCAATTCGCTTCTTCGAAGCAGCTTTATCATTCAATTATCCATGGCTGCTTCTTATCCTCTCGATCTCGGACTGGCCGTATCGCCAGATTTGGCTTTTCGATGTGTCGCAAGCCTCTAACGAAGCTGTAATCACATTTTTCGCCTTGTTACTGGTTGGGAAAGACTGTCAACCACATCAACTTTAAATGAAGACATTTTTTGTTGCAGGTCAGGTGCACCTCGCCAATGTGAAGTGAGTGAGAAGATGGCCATTTCATGGCCACTCAACTTTTATCTCAACCCAGTGAGAAGAATCTCATTCTAAAGTGGGAAAGTGCTTTCAAAGGTGAGAGTAATTTCATGTTCATGCCGCTCGCAACTTTTTTTCCCATATTTACGTACTATGGAAATCCCTGACTGTTCTTTAATGTAAATCCTGCATACTTTGGACTCCGTTTCAATAACAAGCTTTCTCGAAAAGTTTAATCAAATTGTAACGAGTAACATGAGAACAATTGAATTATCCATTATATTGGACAAGAATGTTCTTTCGCCTAACAATACCATTTGACTGTAACAGATTTTTATGGTATAGTTCTTGCTTCAATTTTAGACGTACCCTAAGCATATCTGGACGGAACTTTTCTTCATATTTTCTCAATAGGACCCACTCGTACACAATTCGATCTCTTTCTCCCCATTTATCATGATCAAACTTCTGAAAAAGAAGTGTTTTAATTGTACAGAACCTACATCACTATGTTCCATTGATCCCATATTTTACGGGTGTATGTCAACAAGCGCGATTTTTATTGCCAGATGGGTCCCAAATAGCACATAATAAGTGTTTTATAACTTTCTAAATTTATTCAGATTTTAGAAGGAGATATTTTAGGTAGTTGCATGGGTTGTTCAATCTTAGTATCTTGGAATCGATTCAAAACAACTATTTTGAAGGTCAAAAATCCATGAAAATGCACTTAAGAACAATTTTGTAAATATTTCGGTCCGTTTCCCGCAAAAGCCACCAAACTCAGCAAATGGTAACATCAGACAGATACTAAGCTGATGCACTTTATCTGGTGCTTTTTGAAGACTCGCATAGCACCAAACTGGGGTTTTAAGTTGGTGACAGCCAGAGAAATCGCGCCTCTTGACCGTCTCTCTATATTTTACCCTCATAGTTACAGCAATGGGGATCCTTTGCTTGCTTTTCAAAACACCATATGGAGGAAACGCAATCACTCGTGGGATGCAATTTCCTAAATTTTCCATTGAACTTGCTAGCGATCGTCTAGCTCAAAAGAGAAAATAGATTGCCTTTGATGGCGAAAGCAACTGGATGTATAGTGTTGTTGAGAATCGTCATATGATAAGTAATGTGGTCAAAGTCAAATGGAGCGTTGAATACCTAAAGCAACCATTGAAAATGTGATAATAAATGCTTTTGCACTTACTAATTTATCAAGTGGACGAAATATCATTTCGTGAATATTTACAAGCGGATCAAGTGTAACATTATCAATACCAGGACCTTCGCGAAGTTTGTAAAAATCGTCTGTCTCCATAGGATTTGGTCCTCTATTACGCTCAGTTCCTCAAATCAAGTGTATATGTGCAACACGTGTAACAAAATAAAGCTCTCTTTCGAGCTTTTTCAACCTTTTATATCTGTAGTACTGGTTGAAGGAAGTGTCTGGTTCTCTCCTCCAGACGGACAGTAATCGCTCTAAATTTAAATTCATGCTCTTTGAAATTATAATGAGGTTGTTGACCCTGCTCCAACTGCCACTTAACTTCTCTAATCGTGCAGAAAACAGAATTGTTAGAATAATAAAGTTTGCGAAACATTTTTGTATACTCACATCCCTAGCTCTCCTTTCAAAATACAACGATCTAATGAGCCAAGTCTTTACACTAGTACATCATCTGATTCTAACTCTAAAACGCTTTCTTCGGGAGGAACAAAAACACTCCGATGGGAAATTTTAATGATTTTGAAAAGGCAGTGTCATCATTTGATCAAGATTACTTTATGCAAAAAGAATATCTGTAGGAAAAATGCACTGGCAACAAGAAAATGCCTAGTAGGTAGAAATTAGGAGAAAATCTGATGCTCGTAATCTGAATACCCTCAATCATGCAGTTTCGAAAAAAAAATTCGAATCTCTAAACTTGATTTCGCACATGAAATGAAAAGAATAGAATTACATTCAACACTAGAGTATATTTACGATATACTAAACATCTAAATCATATCGACTGCTACTCTTGAATTTAGTAGCAGGTAGAGTTGAGGTGAGAGTAAAATTAGTAAAACAAGTTTGAGATCTCAATGATAAAGACGAGAACAGAGGAGTTTTAGCGGCAGCAAATGTATGATGTTCGCAAACGAATGGTCTGCCCACCTTTTTATCATCAGAAGCTTGTCCGAATTTGCATTTGCACACCATATCAGGAACGCACTTGCATCCTTCCTTTCCTGCCTTGCATTGGCATGTTTTCCCGGAATCGCACAAACACGCAGGTTTGCCACCCTTGCATGCGCAAATAGCGCCAGGTCGACATAAACAAATTGGGCATACACATCCCTCCTTATCTGGACTACATTGACAGATTGTACCGGGTACACATGAGCATATAACTTTACACTGGCAAACTATGTTCAGCTTACACTGACATCCTTCTTTGCCTGCCTGGCAATTACAAATGGCTCTTGAGTCACATTTACAAGTAGGTTTGCCACCCTTACATTTGCAGACGCTACCTGGCTCGCAAGTGCATAGGTGACATTTACAGCCTTCTTTACCCTCACTACATTGACAAGCAGTACCGGGCTCACAACTGCACTGTGGCTTACAATTGCAGACGGCATCTAAAGCACATTTGCAGCCCTCCTTTCCAGCTTCGCAACGACACACTTTGTCAGGTTCGCACAAACATGACGGTTTTCCATTCTTGCATCTGCACAGCGCTCCGGGTTGACACTGGCATATGAGACACTTGCAACCTTCTTTGCCTTCCTTGCATTCACAGACTGCTCCTGGTTGGCAAGTGCACTTCGGCTTTTCAGCTTCGCAGGTGCAGGGTTGTCCTGGTTTGCATGTGCATACGTGGGCGTGCTCCTCAGCCGAAGGTGCTTGTGGTGCACATTGACAACCTTCCTTACCAGGTTGACACTGACAAACTGTGTTTGGCTCGCAAGTACATAAAGGTTTGCACTTGCAAGGAACACCGACTTTACATTGACATCCTTCTTTGCCTGCTTGGCAGGTGCACACGTCTTTTGGATTGCATTTGCACTGTGGCTTGCCTCCTTTGCATTTGCACACCGTACCCGGTTCACAAGAGCATATGTGGCATTTGCATCCTTCTTTTCCTTCGGTGCACTGGCAGGCAGTACCAGGTTCGCATGTACACGGTGGTTTGCAATTGCAGATAGTGTCAAGTGGGCATTTACATCCATCTTTTCCAGCTTCGCAGCGACACACTTTATCAGGTTCGCACAAACATGTCGGTTTTCCATTCTTGCATCTGCACAGCGCTCCGGGTTGACACTGGCATATGAGACACTTGCAACCTTCTTTGCCTTCCTTGCATTCACACACTGCTCCTGGTTGGCAAGTGCACTTCGGCTTTTCAGCTTCGCAGGTGCAGGGTTGTCCCGGTTTGCATGTGCATACGTGGGCGTGCTCCTCGGCCGAAGGTGCTTGTGGTGCACATTGACAACCTTCCTTACCAGGTTGACACTGACAAACTGTGTTTGGCTCGCAAGTACATAGAGGCTTGCACTTGCAAGGAACACCGACTTTACATTGACATCCTTCTTTGCCTGCTTGGCAGGTGCACACGTCTTTTGGATTGCATTTGCACTGTGGCTTGCCTCCTTTGCATTTGCACACCGTACCCGGTTCACAAGAGCATATGTGGCATTTGCATCCTTCTTTTCCTTCGGTGCACTGGCAGGCAGTACCAGGTTCGCATGTACACGGTGGTTTGCAATTGCAGATAGTGTCAAGTGGGCATTTACATCCATCTTTTCCAGCTTCGCAGCGACACACTTTATCAGGTTCGCACAAACATGCCGGCTTTCCGTTCTTGCATTTGCACAGCGCTCCGGGTTGACACTGGCATATAAGACACTTGCAACCTTCTTTGCCTTCCTTGCATTCACAGACTGCTCCTGGTTGGCAAGTGCACTTCGGCTTTTCAGCTTCGCAGGTGCAGGGTTGTCCTGGTTTGCATGTGCATACGTGGACGTGCTCCTCAGCCGGTGCTTGTGGTGCACATTGACAGCCTTCCTTACCAGGTTGACACTGACAAACTGTGTTTGGCTCGCAAGTACATAAAGGCTTGCACTTGCAAGGAACACCGACTTTACATTGACATCCTTCTTTGCCTGCTTGGCAGGTGCACACGTCTTTTGGATTACATTTGCACTGTGGCTTGCCTCCTTTGCATTTGCACACCGTACCCGGTTCACAAGAGCATATGTGGCATTTGCATCCTTCTTTTCCTTCGGTGCACTGGCAGGCAGTACCAGGTTCGCATGTACACGGTGGTTTGCAACTGCAGATAGTGTCAAGTGGGCATTTACATCCATCTTTTCCAGCTTCGCAGCGACACACTTTATCAGGTTCGCACAAACATGCCGGCTTTCCGTTCTTGCATTTGCACAGCGCTCCGGGTTGACACTGGCATATAAGACACTTGCAACCTTCTTTGCCTTCCTTGCATTCACAGACTGCTCCTGGTTGGCAAGTGCACTTCGGCTTTTCAGCTTCGCAGGTGCAGGGTTGTCCTGGTTTGCATGTGCATACGTGGACGTGCTCCTCAGCCGGTGCTTGTGGTGCACATTGACAGCCTTCCTTACCAGGTTGACACTGACAAACTGTGTTTGGCTCGCAAGTACATAAAAGCTTGCACTTGCAAGGAACACCGACTTTACATTGACATCCTTCTTTGCCTGCTTGGCAGGTGCACACGTCTTTTGGATTACATTTGCACTGTGGCTTGCCTCCTTTGCATTTGCACACCGTACCCGGTTCACAAGAGCATATGTGGCATTTGCATCCTTCTTTTCCTTCGGTGCACTGGCAGGCAGTACCAGGTTCGCATGTACACGGTGGTTTGCAACTGCAGATAGTGTCAAGTGGGCATTTACATCCATCTTTTCCAGCTTCGCAGCGACACACTTTATCAGGTTCGCACAAACATGCCGGCTTTCCGTTCTTGCATTTGCACAGCGCTCCGGGTTGACACTGGCATATAAGACACTTGCAACCTTCTTTGCCTTCCTTGCATTCACAGACTGCTCCTGGTTGGCAAGTGCACTTCGGCTTTTCAGCTTCGCAGGTGCAGGGTTGTCCTGGTTTGCATGTGCATACGTGGACGTGCTCCTCAGCCGGTGCTTGTGGTGAACATTGACAGCCTTCCTTACCAGGTTGACACTGACAAACTGTGTTTGGCTCGCAAGTACATAAAGGCTTGCACTTGCAAGGAACACCGACTTTACATTGACATCCTTCTTTGCCTGCTTGGCAGGTGCACACGTCTTTTGGATTACATTTGCACTGTGGCTTGCCTCCTTTGCATTTGCACACCGTACCCGGTTCACAAGAGCATATGTGGCATTTGCATCCTTCTTTTCCTTCGGTGCACTGGCAGGCAGTACCAGGTTCGCATGTACACGGTGGTTTGCAATTGCAGATAGTATCCAGTGGGCATTTACATCCATCTTTTCCAGCTTCGCAGCGACACACTTTATCAGGTTCGCACAAACATGCCGGCTTTCCGTTCTTGCATTTGCACAGCGTTCCGGGTTGACACTGACATATGAGGCACTTGCAACCTTCTTTGCCTTCCTTGCATTCACAGACTGCTCCTGGTTGACAAGCGCATGGGACCTTCTCTTCTGGTTTAGCTTCTTCTGACGGTTTGGGAGCTTCTTCCTTCGGTTCTGGCGGCTTGACTTCTTCAGGTGGTTTAGGCTCTTCTTTTACTTCCGGTTTTGCCTCTTCTGGTGGTTTCGATGGTGGTGGGCACTGGCAACCTTCTTTACCAGGTTGACACTGACAAACTGTGTTTGACTCGCAAGTACATAAGGTCTTGCATTTGCAAGGAACATCGACTTTACATTGACATCCTTCTTTGCCTGCTTGGCAGGTGCACACGTCTTTTGGATTACATTTGCACTGTGGCTTGCCTCCTTTGCATTTGCACACCGTACCCGGTTCACAAGAACATATGTGGCATTTGCATCCTTCTTTTCCTTCGGTGCACTGACAGGCAGTACCAGGTTCGCATGTACACGGTGGTTTGCAATTGCAGATAGTGTCAAGTGGGCATTTACATCCATCTTTTCCAGCCTCGCAGCGACACACTTTATCAGGTTCGCACAAACATGCCGGCTTTCCGTTCTTGCATTTGCACAGCGTTCCGGGTTGACACTGACATATGAGACACTTGCATCCTTCTTTGCCTTCCTTGCATTCACAGACTGCTCCTGGTTGACAAGCGCATGGGACCTTCTCTTCTGGCTTAGCTTCTTCTGGCGGTTTGGGAGCTTCTTCCTTCGGTTCTGGCGGCTTGACTTCTTCAGGTGGTTTGGGTTCCTCTTTGGGTTCTGCAGGTTTGTCTTCCTCGGGCGGTTTAGGCTCTTCTTTTACTTCTGGTTTTGCCTCTTCTGGTGGTTTCGATGGTGGTGGGCACTGGCAACCTTCTTTACCAGGTTGACACTGACAAACTGTGTTTGGCTCGCAAGTACATAAGGGCTTGCATTTGCAAGGAACACCGACTTTACATTGACATCCTTCTTTGCCTGCTTGGCAGGTGCACACGTCTTTTGGATTACATTTGCATTGTGGCTTGCCTCCTTTGCATTTGCACACTGTACCCGGTTCACAAGAGCATATGTGGCATTTGCATCCTTCTTTTCCTTCGGTGCACTGGCAGGCAGTACCAGGTTCGCATGTACATGGTGGTTTGCAATTGCAGATAGTGTCAAGTGGGCATTTACATCCATCTTTTCCAGCCTCGCAGCGACACACTTTATCAGGTTCGCACAAACATGCCGGCTTTCCGTTCTTGCATTTGCACAGCGTTCCGGGTTGACACTGACATATGAGACACTTGCATCCTTCTTTGCCTTCCTTGCATTCACAGACTGCTCCTGGTTGACAAGCGCATGGGACCTTCTCTTCTGGCTTAGCTTCTTCTGGCGGTTTGGGAGCTTCTTCCTTCGGTTCTGGCGGCTTGACTTCTTCAGGTGGTTTGGGTTCCTCTTTGGGTTCTGCAGGTTTGACTTCCTCGGGCGGTTTAGGCTCTTCTTTTACTTCTGGTTTTGCCTCTTTTGGTGGTTTCGATGGTGGTGGGCACTGGCAACCTTCTTTACCAGGTTGACACTGACAAACTGTGTTTGGCTCGCAAGTACATAAGGGCTTGCATTTGCAAGGAACACCGACTTTACATTGACATCCTTCTTTGCCTGCTTGGCAGGTGCACACGTCTTTTGGATTACATTTGCATTGTGGCTTGCCTCCTTTGCATTTGCACACTGTACCCGGTTCACAAGAGCATATGTGGCATTTGCATCCTTCTTTTCCTTCGGTGCACTGGCAGGCAGTACCAGGTTCGCATGTACATGGTGGTTTGCAATTGCAGATAGTGTCAAGTGGGCATTTACATCCATCTTTTCCAGCCTCGCAGCGACACACTTTATCAGGTTCGCACAAACATGCCGGCTTTCCGTTCTTGCATTTGCACAGCGTTCCGGGTTGACACTGACATATGAGACACTTGCATCCTTCTTTGCCTTCCTTGCATTCACAGACTGCTCCTGGTTGACAAGCGCATGGGACCTTCTCTTCTGGCTTAGCTTCTTCTGGCGGTTTGGGAGCTTCTTCCTTCGGTTCTGGCGGCTTGACTTCTTCAGGTGGTTTGGGTTCCTCTTTGGGTTCTGCAGGTTTGACTTCCTCGGGCGGTTTAGGCTCTTCTTTTACTTCTGGTTTTGCCTCTTCTGGTGGTTTCGATGGTGGTGGGCACTGGCAACCTTCTTTACCAGGTTGACACTGACAAACTGTGTTTGGCTCGCAAGTACATAAGGGCTTGCATTTGCAAGGAACACCGACTTTACATTGACATCCTTCTTTGCCTGCTTGACAGGTGCACACGTCTTTTGGATTGCATTTGCACTGTGGCTTGCCTCCTTTGCATTTGCACACCGTACCCGGTTCACAAGAACATATGTGGCATTTGCATCCTTCTTTTCCTTCGGTGCACTGACAGGCAGTACCAGGTTCGCATGTACACGGTGGTTTGCAATTGCAGATGGTGTCAAGTGGGCATTTACATCCATCTTTTCCAGCCTCGCAGCGACACACTTTATCAGGTTCGCACAAACATGCCGGCTTTCCGTTCTTGCATTTGCACAGCGTTCCGGGTTGACACTGACATATGAGACATTTGCAACCTTCTTTGCCTTCCTTGCATTCACAGACTGCTCCTGGTTGACAAGCGCATGGGACCTTCTCTTCTGGTTTCACCCCTTCTGACGCTTTGGGAGGTTCCTCCTTTGGTTCTGCCGGCTTCACCGCCTCAGGTGGTTTTGGTTCTTCTTTAACTTCTGGTTTTGCTTGCTCTGGCGGTTTGGGAGGTTCTTCCTTCGGTTCTGGCGGCTTGACTTCTTCAGGTGGTTTAGGCTCTTCTTTTACTTCCGATTTCGCCTCTTCTGGTGGTTTCGATGGCGGTGGGCACTGGCAACCTTCCTTACCAGGTTGACACTGACAAACTGTGTTTGACTCGCAAGTACATAAGGTCTTGCATTTGCAAGGAACACCGACTTTGCACTGACATCCTTCTTTGCCTGCTTGGCAGGTGCACACGTCTTTTGGATTACATTTGCATTGTGGCTTGCCTCCTTTGCATTTGCACACTGTACCCGGTTCACAAGAGCATATGTGGCATTTGCATCCTTCTTTTCCTTCGATGCACTGGCAGGCAGTACCAGGTTCGCATGTACATGGTGGTTTGCAATTGCAGATAGTGTCAAGTGGGCATTTACATCCATCTTTTCCAGCCTCGCAGCGACACACTTTATCAGGTTCGCACAAACATGCCGGCTTTCCGTTTTTGCATTTGCACTGCGCTCCGGGTTGACATCGACATAGAAGACACTTGCATCCCTCTTTACCCTCTTTACACTCACAAGCTGACCCTGGTTGACAAGCGCACGGAACCTTCTCTTCTGGTTTCGCTTCTGGCGGTTTGGGAGGTTCTTCCTTCGGTTCTGGCGGCTTGACTACCTCAGGTGGTTTAGGCTCCTCTTTTGGTTCCGCTGGCTTGACTTCTTCAGGCGGTTTTGGTTCTTCTTTCACTTCTGGTTTTGCTTCCTCCTGCGGTTTGGGAGGTTCCTCATTCTTCTCTTTTGGTTTCGTTTCTGCATCCGGTTTGAGCTTTTCGGCTGCAGGGCATTTGCACTTCATTTTTGTTTTACATTTGCAATCGCCTCTGCATTCACACACTTTTCTGGGATTACAAACACATACGGGTTTGCCACCTTTGCATGCACATATGTTCCCTTTACAACATAAGCATATCGGGCACTGACAGCCTTCTTGACCAGGTTCACATGAGCAAACTGTGAATTGCTCGCAAGAACATAGTAGCTTACACTGGCAGGCTGAGCACGATTTGCACTGTGAACATTTTCCTTCTTCACATTTGCAGGCAGAACTTGGGTCGCATTTGCATGGTGGACTTCCGCCTTTACATTTGCAGACTGTGCATGGTTCGCACGTGCATTTGTGACAGCGACATCCTTTTATATCCTCCGTACACTCGCATATAATGCCAGGGATGCAGGCGCAAACTGGCTTGCACTTACACATAACGTCCAGAGGGCATTTACATCCATCCTTTCCGACTTCGCATCGACAAACTTTATGAGGTTCACAGGAGCACGCCGGTTTGCCATTCTTACATTTACAGACGGAACCTGGTTGGCATAAGCAGATGTGACAACTGCAGCAGTTACGGTCTGTGCACTGACAAACAGCACCGCCTTCACATGTGCACAATGGCTTACAGTTGCAAGCGGCTTGTTGGAAACATTTACATCCAGTCTGTCCGACTTTACATCGACATATTTGTCGGGGTTTACACAGGCAAGGTCTTCTTCCAACTCTGCATTTACAAACAGATCCGGGCTGACATTGGCAAATGTGACATCTGCATCCTTGTTGACCTTCTTTGCACTGGCAAACGGTCCCGATTTTACACAAGCATAATGGCTTGCACTCGCAGATAATGTCCAGACGACATCTGCAGTCTTTCTTTCCGACTGGGCACACGCAAACAGCATCGAGTTCACACACGCATGGCGGTCTTCCATTTTTACACTTGCATGTCGATCCAGGCTCGCAGCTGCATGGAGGTCCTGATGGTTCTGTTGTCGCAGGCTCCATTCCACATATTCTCGTCCTTTCACTAGGCACGTTCTAAATGACAATAAAATAGTTTTGATGATGGCGATGAGACTACGAGGCATATTAGGATAAACAATGAAAGTGAAGTGCCAAACAAACCTTACTCTCGCGATCTTTTCCGGTAGCACCCGTATGTTCCCGCTGAAAACAGAACTTTGATTTTCAAATTTATATCCCGTGACTTAGTTTTTGACCTCAAGATACAATTTAAAAACTGGCAAACACAAGTAAGGACGGCATAAATTTGTTAAGTTAAGACCTAAGTGAAGCCAGCGATTAAGAAACTTACATCGGAAACGTTTCTGTTGCCTCTGCGTTGAGTGAGATCCTAAAATCAATGTGATGAGACTCCAGTTGATGTCATTTACTTTACAAAATTGCTCTCAGGTCTTAAACTTCTAACGCTTGAAAAATGAAATTTCTCCACGAAAATTATAAAATAAATAATTATAAAATATCTTTTATCTCATATCTATATCCCATAGCCTAAACGCTTTCCTATAAACTAGCAAAATCGTTTCAAATTTGCTACTGACAAGTAATCTTAGCATGTCAGCCAAATAGAGACTATTATAACATCAATCGCTTTTTAGGAAGATATAAAGAGGTATTTAAAGTGATATTAAAAAGGGTAAACTTTTTCTTCTTTTATTTTCCTTCTCGCAAGACTACGTGATCAAAATTCAACTTCTGCTTACTGTAAGTTTCGATTCTAGAGAGTTTCAAAGATCGTTTTTTTCTTATATCTGAAAGATATCAACCGCTAGAATGAATCAACATAGATATCTAATTGCTTCTAATATTGTGAAAAGCAAGGCGATACCATAATCTATCTAGACTGATGTTCCACTGATGACCACCACTGAATGAAAGTGTCCCGGATGAACACTGAGTCTTCCACACTTATTGCTCGTATTTAATTTTACAAGAGATGATGAACACAGTACTCCTCATTGCAGCAATCACTTTGTATAATTCCACCACTTTCAAAATTAACGTGGCACAAGACTATGAAGTGGAAGTCACCATCATAATTAAAGGCTCTACAAAACGGCGGAAGTAACACGATTATAAAAGAAACAGAAAGCCATCTTGCAGCGGCTTGCTAGTTCAAAAAATTAGTGTGATCTCTAAGTGATTACTGAGAAAAGTACGATTGCAAGTTTATTACTTTCGCTCCTACCAAAATGTTGATGAAGATTTTCGCGTGTACGCACATTGTTGTCATTTTATGCTAAAAATATAACAAATCTTTTGATCTTGCTTGCCTATCACGCCCACATGCACCTTAATCAGCTCTGAATAAGATGTCTAAGCGTTAGGCCCCGGACAGACTTCACGCGATTTGATCGTCGCGACTGAATCGCGACGAGACAACTGTTACAACATCATTCCATGCCGATCAACTTGCATTTCGGTTGTGATACTTTTCCAGCCCGAAATTTTTGAATGTGAAATGAAAATGAATGGAAAAGTCGGCGATTGAGTTGCGACGATCAAATCGCGTGAAGTCTGCCCGGGGCCTTATATGTCGAGTATTCTTCGTTAACATTTATAGAAACCACGGCAAACCAAAATAGCGGCATCGACGTCGTTCTTTGCGAGACTACTTATGTTCACTTGAGGGTAAAAAATGTGACGGCCTTATATGCATTTCCCTTCAGTCCGACAATAAAAATGATTTCTACTCACCTCTGCGCCTGCATCGCTTTCTCCCTTCCTCCGTCCCGATAAAGTGGCACGTTTGCCGGCGCTATCGCTTCTGAAAGTAGTAAAGTGGCAGACATTACGTGTATCGACAAATGAAGTGAATTTTTGGATTCCTCTGCAAACCAAGTATGATCTCCCTCTTCATAGTGGGGTGTCTTGACAGTGGGTGTCAGATGGCGCTGTGCAGCATGTATACTTTGGCAAGACCCTTCCAAGCAATGAAGAAGTTCAACGTTTACCTCATCTGAGCCTGCTCTTACTGGGGAACAACCTTTACTCATTAAGAATGGAAGAAATCCCTGCACACTGAATCCCACCAAAAGCGCCGGCAGTTGACGAGACCGACATCAACTGCCCAGAAAGGCACCTTGTGTCGGAGAAAAACGCACTTCCGAAACACTAACCGTGCAGACTCCACCTACAGCGACAGAATAGACTCCAAAACACCAATCTTCGTTTATTAGCCGCTGCAGAGTGCATCAGGTACTGCGTCCACGTTATTGCTCTGCAGCAACGATCAAAAAAGAAGGAACTGCGACAAGAGTTGCAGATGTCAAAGATGGGATCCTTATTATCCATAATGTAAAAAGTATCAACAAATATTGGAAGCGAATCCTTCTACAAGTTTGTTGTCGGCTCTTAGAATTCGGGAAGCCACCAGAAGAGAAGCATAGGATCGGTAAGATTGGATATTGACTGCGGGATGGAAATGGCAACCGTCTCGTTCAGCTTGTCTCTCCCGCACGAATTTTCCATGAAAATTTGATCCGGATAAGGACAGAACAGCGCCGGTGGACATGGTAATCGCTCATTTTAACGACTCACGCGGAAACCCACAATCTTACCAACCGAAGGTGGAATTTGCCGCAGTGCCTCCTCTCACCGCTTCAAGCGAAGGTAGATTCAGTCGAAAGCAGGAACAAGAGGTCTGTCACAGTGCCGCAAGAAGAGAGGAAGTTGTTTATTATGGTAGCAAGCTAGAGGAGCTCATATCAATTGGTGACTAGCCATCAAGGAGGACCCAATTTACGATTACGACCGGCTTCTGAAATGAGCCCGCAAAAAGTCTTAATGATTTCTGAGAAGAATTGAGCGCACTTCGAAGGACAAAGGATTACTTGAAAGAAGAAGATCCTTGGGGAAGATGCAACTCATCTCAGCGAGTGAAAACCAACGTCAGTTGCAGAGCTGCTCTCCAGGAGGATTTTAGGAAATATAGGCGAGCCAAGATCTGAAAGCAGCGGAAAAAAAAGACGAAGTCTTGAGAAGTGCCGAAGGGACCTCTGTGAATATCACGTAGAGGCTCGCTGGCTGCGTTGTTAAACGAAGACGGGACGTCGACTTTTCCCGAAATAAGATGGAATCTGTCGCGAAGAACTTCTATACCAACCTCTTCCGTTCATCAAAATTTATTTCGATTCTCTTTGTTTTCATTAAAGAAGTATCATCTTGGATTCTACCTGCTGAAGTGCGCGCAGTGATTTAAACCATGAAGACGTCGAAGGCTCCAGGACCAGACCATCTTTCCGTCGAACTTCTCACCAGGCCATCTTTCCGTCGAACTTCTCGAGACGGAAGACAATATTTACACGAGATTCTCGCGCCGCATCTAGCATCCTACTTCCAAAAGGTAAGGATTCTCAAACAACAGAGAACTTCAAAAACTTCACTTCAAATCGATTATATTCGTTTTGCCAGGGCAATTCTCGTCTGACGCTCGCGAATATTCTCCGAAATTATCTTTGATACATGCACAGCTGACTGTGACTAGTCTTTGACAACATACTAGATGAATGAGATGGGCTTGCCAATGAATCTCTGTTTCCAGATTTCCAAACCTACGATGATTAATGGTAGGCAACCAAAGCGTCTTATTATGGCTGCGTCCGGAGTCGATCGTTGCAGCGCCGTACTAGCGCCATGCCGGAACATCAGCCGATCAATACGTGGTGCGCCCACGTGGCTCTGGAACGGCGCCAGCACGGCGCTGGCTCAGTGGAACTGTGGACGCTGCATGTGACTCTAATCATGGAAAACTCACGGCTTTTCAGGACGCGGTGAGTGTGTTTGTAGTAGAGTATCCATTTCGTTTTTGTTGAAAATGCGGCTTTCCTCCGTATTCTCAAAAAGGAATAAATTATTTATTCAGTAATGGACAATTAGTGTTATTATCATACTTTTCCATTAATTAGCTCCTTGAGTACATTGATATACTTTGGAGGGTCCACAAACAGCAACAATGCGAGTAGGAGTTTTATGTCATAGTATAGTGGAACTTTTTCGAATCCAGTGTCGCAGATAGTGAGCACACCGAAACAGCCCCTAAAAGAGACATTGCGAATTAGTGCTTGAGCTTACTGACAGTTTTCATGCAATAATCTTATTTGAAATCGGAACATTATGCTTTGATTGCTGGCGAGAATTTTACGAGGTTAGAAGAACGAAAAGATTTCGGTTTCAATTTCGCAGCCTCTTCTTAAAAGGCCTGCAAATGCATGTGCGAAAGGACCAGTTCTCTGCGGAGGGGGCGCCTATCCCCTGTAACCCGCTAACAGCTGCACCCTACATTGAATAGAGGAGGTTATGGGGTCGCTAGGCATACGCCGATTGATTTGATCTGCTTGATCTTTGATCCACTTCGCTTTGCTCGAATCAGTGACTCGACCAACAGCGAAGCGTATGTCCGCTTGATCCATTTGATCCCCTTGATCCACTTTGCTATTGGTCAGTTCACTGATACGACCAAAGCGAAGTGGATCAATGGATCAAGAGGATAAAGTGGAACAGCCATGGGTGTGTGCCACAGGGGTGGCCTGCGCGGACATCTGTAACAAACAAGCACGAGAACAGGCAGCACCTGATGCTGGATGTAAGGGAGGAGCTTATTGCGACATATCGTCCTACCCTTGCTCTTGGTAGAGGGGGGAGGGGTCAAAATGATCTATCGAGTTTATTCGGTTGGTTTCTCCGTTCGTCAATGAGTAATGCCATCAAGCAGGGTAATCAGTGTGCATCGATTGTGCTTGAATGGCTATGCTTAGAAAAGTGTACGTCTTTATTCATGTCGTGTGAAGCATAAGCACATCCCCATCTAAAACTGAGAATCATCATTCTATTTCCACCCGCATGATATCTAACAGTTGGTTGTGAACATGAATCTCGTGTTCAAGATTGATCTACTTTACTCCTGCGCTTCAGAAACTCTGAAAATTAAAACATACTTACCAATAGATAACCATCTCATCTTTAGACGCAGCTTCTTTAGGATATCCAAATGTAAATATCAGTGGCACGGCAATGAGTATGCTATTGCAAACTAGTCTGGCCTGTTTAGTACATGCACAAATCACGAACACGACTCCAGCGATGGCTTTTGAAAGCTGAAATTGTGCTAGATTAACCTACTCTTTTCTCTTTATCTTCCTCTCTCCCTCTCTCTTTCCCTCAATCTTCTTCAATTACTTGGGGTCTTGTTGCAATAATAGCAGGTCCTGTCTCGATTTCTACGCGACTGTGGCCAGTCCAACCGACTGTTTCTGCACTCTAACTTTTAATTTTACTGGATTGGCGGCCGGAAGGCGGGGCTTTGTGACCTAAATACCGCTCGCAGACCGCTCGCACCTGCGACGTAGTCTGCGTCTCTCTCGCGCGCGTGCTCTCTGATCATTCTCTAGCCTTAACTAGGTCACGAAGCCCCGCCTTCCACCCGCCAACCCAGTTGAGTCAGAGGGTACTAAATGTCTTCGATGTCTTCGCCAATGCTTTGCGCGTGCGTCCGCAAATTTCTGGCGCTGCGTTGTTTCTACAAGGCAATAGGGTTTGACCTCAAAATTTGTTCATGAGATTAGCCGAAAACGTGAGGATAAATCTCTGCTCTAGAGATAGTTGCGCTCCACAGCTGTTTTTGAAGCCGCGAAAATAAGAGTTCATAACCCAAGGATACACTTTTAGATAAGGAAAATATCCACTCATTCGTTGCAAGCTATGATTCATAGCCAAACATCAGTTTGCCACTGCCACCTATTCAATGAACGAGCCCTTGTGCCTATTATTGTCTCATATATTTGTAGCGGGGCGCGGTTATGCATTGTAGCATACAATTTCATTTGCCGAAAAGGCAATTTAGCATCATGGCGAGTGCGTATGCGTTGTCCAATGCAGCGCTCTCTATACTTTGCTACCGCTTATACTCTGAAATCATCGAGCTGTCGCTGAAGAGATTTGATACGTAATGTATAGTCTGGATTCGATAGTCAGTGTAGTTCCCCTGCGGTACATTTGTGCGTTAACAAACCTGTGCTTACGGTGCCTACAACCTTACGATTGTGCCTAAAAAATGGCAATAGTCCAAAGTTATAAGTGCTTATTCCACTTTCTTCTGTTTTTGTTGCTGCAGCATGGCTACAATTTCTCTAGCACAATGGATGTTGACTATTTTGCAAATGGTACAACGCTCATTGCGCATTACATAACTAGGCCTGCAGTTACGCCTGACAACAAATGCAACGAAGGTTTGCAGTAATTGAAGTTTCCAAACAAAGCTTCCAATGTGCTTACCGTATCCTCATCGATCTCCGTTTTCGTCGACAAATCGTGTAACCAACGAGCTGTCCACCATTTCTGAAAATTTTACCTTATCAAATCTTTGAAATGAGCTCTGAAATCAATTCGCAGTTTTTGCTAGAACAAATTATGTGTTCTGGAAACTTTTGGCCTTCTATTGCTGAAATTCAACTTTTCACCTAACATCTAAGCCCAAAACTTAACCATATAAGTTGAACCACGTAATCTTCACGATTTCAGATTCGTGCGTGTAGCATCTGGACTGCCCATCACTATGATTCATCGCTGCTCGATGGGAGCTGTCCCAGCAGTCCCCACAGGAAAACAACGAGTAACGGTAGGTTAAGAGGTTTAATAGCACAAGCTTATGAGTCTCAGAGGAGTCAAATCGCCTGTAAAAACATGCATGTCAAGAGCTTTGTGAATTTCCCCCTGCTCATTATTAATTAAATACGACGGATGTAGGCTCACGTTCTCACGCAACGCTCTTTTCGCTGCGCGCGATGCCGCCAAAATGTGGACGAGTTACACCATACAGTTAACGGAGGAGCTTCTTTTAAGCTATAATACACTGTGTCAATCTACATGGTGACTTCAGGTGTGCAAAGATGAAGGCGCCGCAGCGCAAAACTGGTTCGATCTTCTGCCTTGCCCCGCGTTTCCCAGAGGTGGCCAGTCACAACCAGGGTAAAGCGGGGGGTGCGGCACGCCGCAGGGGGAGGGGGGTCGTTAGGGGGAGGGGTAGGTAGGGGGGGGGGGGTCGTATCGACCCAAGGTCAAAAGCACTTGTACAAGCTGTGTGACTAAATTGACTTGATGAAAGCGCTGTTGAAATCCTGCAAAATTCAGGTTCAACGACACAAACTTGCAGATACCGTATGCCTACCGTGACCTACCGTACCTCTAATCAAGCACAATTGTCGTAATCTGCGTGTCGAATAACCCCTATGCGCCATGTTTCAGCGAACTCTGAGGTCTCCGAGCAGTAAACAACCTTGTATAAAGCAGTATTAAAACATGATTAACTTCATCTTAGTGGTGAGTAAGCTACCTCTTCTTGCACTTAATACAAAGCACTACTCCTTCTTTGTCCACCTCAGGAATCCCGCTTCAGAAGACCTCCAAACTATTGAATTAGAAGCCAACCAAAATCTCGTTTTTCCCATTTTTCGCTTTTGATCGCTGTGCTTTCACCAAATATTACTCAGAGCTAAGAAGACGAATCAGGCTCAAAACATTCCTATGGAATTTACGAGGTTTAGGCTATTGATTCATATGAATATTGTCCGCTAAAATGTTTTTTTTTTGATATAGTTAATGGCCTGCGGCACCCCCCCCCCCTCAAAACCTGCGGCTGCCGCAGGTTTTGAGGGGGGGGGGGTGCCGCAGGCCATTAACTATATCAAAAAAACATTTTTAGCGGACAGTATTTATATGGATCGATAGCCTAGATTACCTAGTTTTCACAGGAGTGATTTGAGCCTGATTCGTCTTCTTAGCTCTGAGTAGTATTTGGTGAAAGCACAGCGATCAAAAGCGAAAAATGGGAAAAACGAGATTTTGGTTGGCTTCTAATTCCACAGTTTGGAGGTCTTCTGAAGCGGGATTCCTGAGGTGGACAAAGAAGGAGTAGTGCTTTGTCTTGAGTGCGAAAACGGATAGCTAATTCACCTTTGTAACAAAGTTAACCATGTTGGAATTTGACCATTTCACTTAGGTAGCCTAGTATCTTGAATCTTCAGAATTCGCTCAAACTTTGTCTACAGGGGTTAATTGACTTGCTCATTATGGATATGTTGCCCATTATGTTTGACAGGGCCTCCAAGTAATGCTATCTTAAGGGAGTCCAGGGGGGGGGTCTTATTAAGACAGCAATCAGGGGGGGTTCGTAAGCAGCGATCGTGTGCCACACCCCTTGCTTGACCCTGATCACAACCGATATGCTGACGAATCAGCGTCTCGAATCCGCCAATGGTGCCGCGCCTTCGCGGACTATTACTCCAAACACGCTATGCACCAGCATGTTGAAAAAGTTGAGTCCGCGAAAGGGGCTGCTGCCTGCAGATAAACAGGATCTAATTTCCACTACGGTCCTGCGGGTGGAGGACACTAGGTCGCCGAAATTGGAAGAGTCCCGCGCGGATTCTCTGCAGGAACGCATGTCCGCGCATGTACAAGGGTGCGTATTTGTCGCAAATGACCGCGGGGACCGCCCTTTTTCGGCGACCTAATGTCCTCCACCCCGTCCTGCACCTGCACTGCAGTGCTTTGCTTACGGTCGTGTGAAGAAGCCCTACAACCTTGTAAGGGGTAGAGGACTACATCTCGCCGAAGTGTGGCGGCCCTCGCGGTCATCTGCAACAACGCACTTTTTCACATGTGCAGCAAGAATTTCAGCGGACACTCCTACATTCGGCGACATATTGTCCTCTACCCCCTTGTAAGCATAACATGGGTTTTTTGCGGAGGTTTTACCTTTGAAGCAAGATTTCTAACGGGCTGTAGAACATACAAAACATACCGAAGTTGCGAATTCTTTTCAGAACCTTCATAGTCTAAACTGACTATTCAAAGGCACCGTCGACCCTAAGTTAGGGCTTTTGACCTTTTTTCTTTACGAAAGAGGGACCACCTATCAAGCCAATGCCCATGTCGCGGCGCAAAATGTCTCTTCTGAAGCGAGAAAATAGCTTCGGAATAGCGAAGAGGCATGTGCCCCAAGTTGGCACCGCCCCTCCAGTAATGCCCGCCCATCCCCGCGCGCCCATTCAATTACCGTTCAAAAAAACCGACGTACGGGTTTCTAACGGGGACTGTCGGAGTTTTCGCCAATTCTCGACTTCATATTCGGAATCAGGGACATGAAAAGGCTCCGAAATGACTAGAGCATGGAAGTCGAGAATCTGGGTGCCTTTGAGATGCGAGGTGAACGGCACTTGTTCCCCAATATCAATGGAGCAATTAGTTAGAATCATGACTGCCAGCTGCGGCGTAGAGGACATTACATTGCTGAAAGATGGTCCCATGCGGACCTTTGCGACAAACCACTCATGTCCAGTTAGCCGCGGACGGCCTAGAATAGCTAAGCTCGTTCCCCTACCCATCCTGGTTTGTCGCTCTGATGGGAGTTTCAAACTTATGTATGACGAGGAATATTGCGTTTTTGGCTTTTGAGAGAAGGGGTTTTGCGCGAAAAGTTATGGAAGTGGAAACATTACTTATTGTCGCGGTGCGGCAGTGCTTCGCGATTCCGCGATGATTGTGAGTCTCAGACCCCCTCCCCGTCCTCTTTCCCCCCCCCCCCCGCATCCTCTCCATTCCCCCCCCCCCCTCCCCCACCATCCTGACAGAGAGGACTGCTAGCTACTGGACCTACTCAGTAATGACTCATACAACTTATTTGCATTCTCTGATAAACCTTACCAAATTTGAGATCATTCTCAAGGCACAAGCATTCAGGGTGGTGGGTGGAAAGTAGGGTCTCTATTGCCGGTCGAAGGCGCGGTCGGCTTGTAAAAGCGAAGTATGTGCGAGCATATATTACCTCAGAGCGCTTCAGCTTTCCGACAGTAAACTGTAGTCCTATTATCGTAATGGCAAACGACTATTAGCATCAGCTGCAGAACCTCAAAATTGGCTGCAGGAGGAGCAATGGACGGATGCAATTTCCATTGGCCCCATCTGTAGGCTCCCCTCTCCGAGCTCTTTAGGCTGGGTGTAGATTTGCTGTCAGCACAGAGCTAGCGCTCTGTCAGCGCCTAAATCGGTCAGTGGCGCATCCATAGCTGGTACGGTGGCCCGGCGCTGTCACGGCCATGGCACGACACTGGCACACTGGGCGCACTTTGCAGCTGCCCATCTTCTCAATAACTACAAGCGTAAGGTTTCTCTGGCATTTTGGAGTTCGTTATATTCGCTGGAAGTACCAGACCTTGTAGTCAGTTTTCTCTTTGCGCACAAAGTATTCGGGCGAGGAACTTCAAACGCCTCTTATCATCGCTGCCTCTGTTAAGCACTCAAAAGGGCGCATCGATAAACTTCGTCTAATTACAGTCCAAAAGGTGTACTGGCGCTTTTGTTACCTACCCTGAAACGCGCTCTGTTGTCTAGGCTCATTGCGCACTCCTACTTCGTCAAAGAGAGAACAGGGCTCACCCTGTTGTGAACCTTGTCCTGTAGGCTTTCAATAAACTGATCCATGTGTAGGCGATATAGGCGATAAACTGATCCGAAAGATGCACTACGTAAATGAAGTGTTCCACCGTAAATGAAGCTTCATATAGGTGTAATGTTTTTGTGATAATGAGCTATCTTGTAGATAAGGCTTAGATTTTGCACATTCGAACTTTCTTAGTGGTGGTATTGGCAGAACGGGAGTTTATTGTGAAAGTAGTCTACATAAGCATATATCATTAGGGTATTCGCCAAATGCTCAAAGGTTTCACTCACTATAAGAAACAATACACTATCAACTTGGAACTTGATTAGAAAATCTGAACCAAAAGTATATTCGCGGTGATGTATCATAAATTACCTACCTAAAAAAACTAGTGCTACCTTCTAAGTTATTTGTTTCTAGCCTTCAATCAAAGTACCGCCTTGAAGCTTTATGAGGTAATATAATATAATAAAATCAAGTTGCTGTTTTCTTGGTTCAGATTACCAAGTGGGTAAGCCTTTCTCTATTCTTTCTTACCATCTTTGCATCTCACTACAATGACTCTGACCTCAAAAGACCCCCCTTATTTCGTCGAGTTCTGATTAAACAAGAGTAAATTTCGTTTTTTGCACTCTTATTTTGCTGTAGATGCACGAATAACCATATTGAGCACCCTAATAAGAAAAATCTCTCCTTACACTCTACGATTTGAAGTTTATTGGTAGAGTTTATCCTTATAGGTACTAATTCGTGCAAAGCAAGATTAGCAAGCCTTGAGTTTCTGAAAGGATCCTTACATAGTTCAAATGTTACATCAAAGATTAGAGTGATTCATAACTGGTCCATAAGTTTTTTGCGGCTGGAGTCATTCTTTCAAGGTGAAGGATTAAGACTAACATCTTGAAAAAGAAATTTTCGCTTAGTGCTGACAATCTCTGAGTACATGTTATAACTCCTTTCATTTACTATCTCAAATAATTATTATGCTTTGATTTTACTGTATCAAGTTTCCTTTATTGGAATTCTACAGTTTCACAAGCTCAGAATAGTTTGAATGCTCACTTTCGACCCTTTTACCACTGGGTTCTTTCCTTTGATTTGGCTCTGTAAAGGTACGTTTTGCATTTTCTTCCTATGACGTTAGTTGGCCTTTGATCAAAGCTTCAATCTTAGCGCCGTCGACTCCACTTCGGGTCAATTGTGTGCTTCCACTTCCTTTTCAAGCAAAGCTTAGGTCTTTCCAATCTAGTTGAGACTACAATTTCTCTATCATTAGCTTGTTATGTAGCCGTCCAGAAACTATTCAAATACGTAGATCACATTCTAAAAGTGAAGAGAAGGAATAACAGGGAGAGTAGTGGTTTTCGCATTTTTTAATTTTCAACAACGCTGATTTTTTAGAAAAAAATTCATTCACCAACAATTTTATGTGAGACTTGAGTTCCTCTTCTTCAAATCCGTAAACATGGAATTTTGTTGACCAATTGGCCTACAATTCTCACAGAATTACTGTTGTTATCGTCAATCTGCCTCTGAAATTGTATATGCCTATATTCATTTCATAGAATGTTTCTTGTATAGTCTAGCGGCATTTGTTTACGCGGAAGCCTTATTTGTTAATAATCAGTTCCGTATAACAGGGATAGGATATCGCAGGTGCTCATTAGTAATCTTTCGTTGCTGCGTTATAACCTTCGTAAAGTTCAACAACTTTTTTTACTCCTGGATCGCCACTGCTATGTATGTTTAATAACTGATTGCTATACCACTTCGTATTTGTGAAAATTAACTAAAAATCTCGAAAAATTGGTTTCCTGCAAATCGAAGATTTGAAGTTTTTATTTGACATGCTATTCGATTAAATTTAATCAGTACAAATTATTGGTTAGTCAGTCCTTGATTGCTTATCGCAAAAAAATTAGCTCCACTCGAACATGCTGCACTTAGGGGAGGGACGAATTGCGGAATTGTGGCGAACAGTAGTTGTTTTTTACTACGAAGAACCTGCTACGGTTAAGGCTGGCTTTCAAAAAAAAAAAAGAGGAAAGCTTCCTACCCAGTTTTTTTCTCAAAACAGTGGGTGACTTTGCTACTCACAAGGGATGGATATATGCTCGAAGTGGCGTTTCCGTACAAAATGTATACTGTTTTATAGAGCGTGGAACGCTGAGTTCAAACCTACTTTCGATATGCAAAGTGCTTCCGGGAGGGGAGTTATGGAAATTTTTTGATGCAAAAATTTGAGAGCACCGCTACAATAAAACCATTCGGAATCTTAGTCCATGAGCTCAAATGGGGCCACGATTACTGCCAGGGCGTTTTATAGAAAAAAAAACCTTTAATCTAATAAACCCATGTCAGTCATTACTCCTTTTGAGCGCCGAAAAGGCCTCAACACCCTGTTTTTAACTTAGCCAATTCGTTGAATTTCTACCTCAAAAGAATCTCAGAACTCACCTCCAAGAAGCGCTTTGCAGATAACGAAAGCGGATCTGGAATCAGCGTTCTATGCTGTATAAGATAATATACATCTCATATGGAAACGCCATTTCGACCAAGTATCCTTTCCTTGTCAGACATACCGCTTCGAGACGCTTGTGAACAAAGAGACTACAATCGCTGATACAATTATAAGATCCTGTTTTTTTTACTCCAGGTTACATGGGGCCAGGGCGCGGCACTGGCTGGCACCAGGTAAATTTCAGAATGAAGTCTCTTCAATGTTAAAAAAATTTCGTACGAAGTCTCTTTTGACCTTTTTAAGATTCATTATTTTGAGATTATGTAAAATGTGTATTAACGTTTTCACGCATGCTGATTTCATTGAACAACTTTTTACAAGTTTTCTGTGTTTTTTTAGTGGTTCAATTGTTTTGAGGAGCAATGAAAAAGATTTTCGGATGGCCGAAAAGAAAACATTATTGCATGTAAACTTTTACAGTGTAGCTGCAATTGATGTAAAAAAAAGTATGAGAACTCATGTGAGCAAAGGTTTGGTGCCAGCTTAGCTGGCAGTCAAAATTCAGAAGTTCAGCACAACTTTCATTCACATAAATCCGACGCGATGCACGCACCAAATTTGGTGTCATGTGAACGCGTTTTGTTTGTAAACAAGACTTTTGTTTGTTTGGACAGAATTAAATTCCCGCGTTGTTAGCAACGGCATGTCGCCTATAAGACCCATTTGACACATTTTGACATAAATCTACTTCTTGTGGTCAGGATTACGGAGCTCATAATGCTACTTCCCACTACTACGCCAATTTTTATTTTGTGGATAGGCTAAAAACTTTAGCAAATTGTTCATAAAAAATTACAAATAAATCGAGCCAAAGGTAATTTTATTGTCATACATTTTGTTGCTTCTCTCGAACACGAATCTCAAAAATAATCTGATAATATAGATTTATGTTCACTAGGAATTTTTTTCACCTTGTTCAAAATATGTAAAAGTTAATTAGGATTTAGAATTTTAAACATTTTATCATTCAGTTTGATTCTTGCATGTATATCAATAGAAGCGGGAGGAAAGCATTAGCTAGGCTCTCCTCACATAGAAAGAATACTAATCAGAGTACTCTCCATCAACGCGAATCTCTTTCCAATTATTTTTTGCTAATCCATTCGTGTTAGTCAATGATCCTCGAGCATGTATGTATCCCAGCACCACCGAGACGTGTTAGTCCGTTCGTTAGCAAAATTATAGTAAATTTAGTATCTGCTTTATAACCATCCTGCGGGAGGAATGACATGGCCTATCTTTTCTTGGTATCTCTTTTTTGTACTCTATATTAATCTCGCTTGTTCTGAAAAGAACGAGTTTGAAACTAGGTTGAAAAGCAATCTCGTCTATTTTCGAAGAATCCTACAAATGCGCAATAAATTATACGGGAAGTATTTATTTCAATCATATACGCTCACTGAGGCATGTGGCACTCGCCACAGGATGTTAGCATAGCATTACTTCTGTGTAGACCCTAGATCACATAATTTATTTCTGTTTCGTAGATATTAAAGCAAAAGATCTATTGAGATGAGAGGAAAATCTGAGAGAAATAAGGCTTAATTAGAACACTAAGCGTAAATTCATAATTATAAGCAGAGGCACAACTGTACTTTGTAAGCAAAGGCTCAAAAGATTTTTCAACTTTTTGGACTCTATTTTTCAACTTTATGAACTGCTAGCATTCTCTACAACATTTATGAAAATCTTAGAGCTCACAACCAACGTTGCAAACCGTTGCAGTTTGTAACTTTCGTGACAAACCATCATTCTTGCTACTCTATCTCTCATGACTGCCTGATTGCTTCTATTTTTACTCATTTGTATTGAGATTATGAGTTTTCGCATGCTCGTTTACGTCTCGTAAGGTAAACAAATATAAATCGTATTTTTTGTTCGAGTGTACGCTATATTTTTTTTGGAAATGTGTGTACATGAATGATTTAAGTTGCAATTGTTTGCAAGTGGCATTCCTTATTTATTTATTGGGTTGTCCCATAAGTCTTTTCATTTTTGGTTTTTCGTTGTGATAAGTCATATACTTCTTATTATAAATAGACATCTGGATACCATTCGATAGAGCAAAGCAAGCTCTATAAGATGGCATGTAAATGCTCGCAACAGCTTCAACACATCACAAATTAGAAGCAAAATCTGAGAACTTTCGGATGCTAAAAAACTGAAAAATTTTCATATCTTCATTCAAGAAAAGTCCTACAGATCTCTCACTCGCTCACGCATATACATTCCACATCAGACACTCAGTGTGCTGTTGCTGTATTTTTCTTTTGTTAGCTAGAAACCAAGAAAACGAAAAGTTCCATGTTTTTGTCAAACTGATGCTGCGCTGTTCTTACACTAACAGTTGTTTACTACAAGCCCTTAGAAGTACATCCGTAAATTTTTAGCTCTCTACATGCTCTAGTTTCCCAGAAATATTGAGTTAAGCGTTGAAAAACCTGAGTGAGGAGAGCTCAATTCGATATTTCTCGGGAACTAGAGCTTATAGAAAGCTAAAAATTTGCAGCTATACTTTTAAAGGCTTATAGTACACAACTGTTAGTGTAAGAACAGCACAGCATCACCTTTTGAAACATGAAAATTTTCGTTCTTGATTTATAGTCAGTATAAAAACACAGCAACGACACATATGAGTGTCCGATGTGGAGTGCATATGCGTGAGTGAGCGAGAGATCTGTAGGACTTTTTGAACGGAGATGTAAACAAGTCTTCAATTTTAGGAGGGGAGGCATCCGAAACTCTGTAGGTTTGGTTTACTTGAGGTGGATTGAAGCTGGTGCAGAGCAAGGCATAAACGCCTTCTTATAGAGTTTGCTTTGCTCTATCGAACGATATCGGGATGTCTGTATAGAATAAGAAGTACATGATTTATCACAAAAACTCAAAAATGAAAAGGCTTATGGGACAACCTAAAATTATTGTTTTTCAAATTATTTGACTCGGAATTTGCTTGAACTTGGGAGCGTTTGGCCCGATTTCAAACAAATAAAGGTGGTAGTCTGTCGAAAAGAAGTTCAATTTCTCACAGTTATTCTCCCCTTCCCCTCCTCTTTTCCTTCCCACCCCTCCACTATACTTGAGTAATACGAAAATTTTTCATCGAATGAATGAATATCGAATAAATTCGAAAAAGAAAAATTTCGAATATCGAATAAATTCGACAATAAAATATCTCGAATAAACGAATATCGAATAAATTCGAGGTTCAAAAATTCTCGAATGAATGAATTCCGAATAAATTCGGAAAATCAAAAATATCGAATGATTGAATATCGAATATATTCGAACATTGGAAGTCGAATTTCGAATAAATATGAGTGATTTATCGAATAACTAGAGCAACCAGATCTCAAACTTGCCGACATATCTGGCTGAACCCGACAGTAGCCTCGTATCCCCTATACCAACTCCTAGCTGAGAATTTTCCAGGAATCGCTGAAATCGAGAAATTAGATTTTGGTTTTAATCAGCGTCCTCTACCCCCCCCCCCCTGTACCAACTCCCAACCTCGTAGCTCAAGATTTTCCAAAAATCGACAGTCAATAAAGTAAGTTTTTATTCTTAATCGGCACCCTCACTTACCCCCTTGTACCAACTCCCAGTCCCGCAGCTAGAATTTCTCCAAAAATCAATAAAATCGATAAAATTTTTATCCATAATCAGCGCCCTCACTTACCCCTTGCACCAACTCCTAACCCCGTAGCTCAAACTTCTCCAAAAATCGATAAAGTAAGTTTTTATCCACAATCAGCACCCTCGCTCACCCCCTTGTAAGGTATAAGCTGGTCGTGGACGAAGGCATGTGGTTTATTCCGCGAAGCGAGCACGAATGCCCTTATAGCCCCTGACATACTGCAGACATTTCAATGGCGACATGGTTTGGCAATAGTCAAATTGTCCAAAACTTATTCTAAAAGTACAGAATGCAGGGCATTTATCTTTTCAGTAAGTTGTACACGCTAAACATTTGAGGTAAGCTGGCGTTACATTTGAAGACATCTCGTGACTGGCAAATCGCGTACGGCGATCTAAATTGTCTAATCCTCCACTACAACTGCGATGTCCTTTACTCATAATACACCAATTCGCAAAAAATCTCCAAGCTATATAGCGAATAGAGGCAGCTGTGCAATATAACTTATGCGAACAAGAGTGCTCACTAGTGTGGGCTTTGCGTACCACAAGCATGAGCAGTGCAAAGAGAGAAAAACAGGCATTTCAAAACACTTCCAATATATGAACTCGGAACATGAGCTTGAATCTGACAGCTTCTTTGCTGATTTGGTGCCAGTAGCAGTGCGAACAATCTCATTGATCGAAAAAGCATCAATTAAAATCCAAATATGATTTTTCTCCTGTCAAGCAGTCGGAAGAATGCGACCCTCCACACAGTTCAAAGGTCATAATGGTTGCAAAAGATGCATTACCTAGTTTTGCGAAAAAAAAACGCGGACGAAGTGAGCTTGATACTCAGCAGTTGGCTCTGCAACAATGTCGAATAATCTGAATACGGAGTTCATTCGAATACGAATTCGAATAAACATTCGAATAAAACATTCGAATAAAATCTATTCGAAACCCCGTTTTTTGATTATTCGAGTTTTCGAATTTTATTCGAAACCCTGTTTTTTGATCATTCGAGTTTCGATTTTTATTGGAAACCTCGTTTTCTCAATTATTCGAGTTTCGAAGATTATTCGAAAATGGAAGAACTCCGAATATCGAATTTCGAATACGAATATATTCGAATGTTTTATTCGAATGATCGAATTTCAATTTGATTCGGACCCAAATATATCCTCTACCCCTTTTCCCTCTTTCTATGAGAGATTTTCTGATTGAGAGATGAGTAAATAGAAGGAGTTTCCCTCGATACAAACGTGAAAATACTAAAAAAGTAATTATCAAAACTACCAATCGTGATCAAACTCCATCTCCCTCATTCCCTTAGGCGGAAAGATTTGGTGAATATTGTCTGAAGCTTCTCAGTGAGCTTGCTGGAGTTTATTCTGAAATACATATCAAAACTCATACTAGTACTCTATGGAAAACTTATTTTATACCCCCCTCTTCTGCATCGTCAACTGTCAGATGTACCCGTGCGCTGCAAATATGATGTTTTGGAGCTAATAAAAATTAGCAGAATCTTGTTCGTTGTTGTTCATTTTAGCATGACATTTGGATAATGAGAGTCATGACTCCAAATTTATTTTGTCTGATGCACAACAACATCTTGAGCAATGGTACTATTATATGTATCTGCCAGCTAATGAATTATTCAGATGGACTTGTTGGCCAAATTCAGTTACGAGGATAAGGAGCTACTAAAGCGAAGTTGGACCGTGCTCGGCAAGAACATAAACGATACTGCGTACTGTATATTCGATATGATATTCTCACAGAGTCCCGATACCAAACTGGTAGGCAAGCACTCAGTATGAACACCGAATTCAAAAAGTTGTGTTTTGCAGCTTTTCCCTTTCATGAAATTTAGAGCTGTAGGGGACAATAAGCGCTCTAAGGAGATGGAGTTTCATGGCCTTAGATTCATGCAGGTACAAAACTAAGCTGGAAGAGGTCAAAAACGAACCCAAATTTTTGTTTTCCTAGGTCCTGGAATCTGTTGTAAAGGCTATTGACAATCCCGCTTCATTGGATCCTCTTTGTGATAATCTTGGTGAGTCAACTGATTCAATAGTGGAGGTCAAGCGTGCTCATTGAAATATTATCAGCTACTTATCGTTAGGATATCCTAGGTGTATGATTGATTTGTATCATTTTTACTCAAAGATAAACGACATAATAACCACTTTCCACGATTGGAGTAAGCAAAGACACTTCTTTTCTTATTTAAGAGTGTGTTGCATAGTCTCATAAGTGCTTCTTCATGAGTCTCATCGTTTGAAGACTTAATTGCCACGAGTTGCGAAATTGCATCAAAATTCCCTTCGCGTTCATGAGAGCATAATATTGAATCAACGCAAAATACACAACCATATAACATCGGACAAAGGAAGTGTAAAAAGTTTGGTTTTTTTTGAGGGGGGGAGGAGGTGGGGTGTTCACTCGTTTGACTGCTACGCGGGCTTGTTGTTGTTGTGATACCCCAGACTTGGGTAATCAAACTCTTTAACACAACGACACGCAACAATAACAACAAACAGTTGTATAAGCAACTGACCAATCAATCAACACTCAAATATAAAAGTATTGGATGAGATCACTTGTTATCAAAGAACATGCAAATCTTGTCTCGATCCGCGAGCTGTCCTTGGCGGCGCCAGTTGATGTAGCTTGCGGAATTTAGAGTCTGCAAGATCCGTTGTTTTGCTTAGCTCGAAGTCGAGTCAAGAGTGTTTTCGTTTTTTGGTCAGCAAAACTGAACGCGCAACTAAAACAAAAACGTCCAGATCTGCTCAGATGGCCACTGTTGTCTATCGGGGCACTTCATGTAATGCGCAACTTCTGTCTGGTACAGACAGAAGCTCAAAACTGCTCTTCTGAGCGTTAGACGCTTGGCGGACAATATTTACAATTCATAAGCCAATCTGACCAGCAACATCCCTTGTGAATCGAATCGACAAACTTTACCTATTTAACGTCTAACGCAGCTTTTTTTAGACATAATGCCTCCAGTTTTTTTTATTGGAAGCAAAAATGATTAGACCGATAATTATATTCAATCTCTCAGGAAGCTAATACCGCTTTGACCCAATGTTGCAAAAAAGATCACAGTTTCAGTATTAGGTAGCCTGTCAAAACAGTCGAATGCCGTTAAAAAGTAAACATTTGGCTTATGTTGGCTTTTCTATCTGTTTGAAATCAAGATAAGTTTTGAGTGGAGTACATTATTTCACCGAAAGAAGAGGTCCCGCACCAAATCAAGGGCGGCGTGGCAGGAGTTCCCAAAGCCTAGCCGCTTTTCCTCGCAGGGGTACTTGGCACCCCCAGAAATTCCTTGAAGAACGTCACACCTTTTCAGGGCCAAAGAACGGCTCCGCCCATCACTCTTCTCTAGGTGCCCTCATTCTAAACTGTGTACTCGCTGCAAGATATGCTTCATTGTATATGAGGATAATAGAACTGAAATCGAGAAACAAAAAAATTGTAGGTATTAAAAGGGGTTTAGTATCCATAAACGACTGCAGCTTAATTTCGAGTTATGTTTTACTCATGTTTTCGGTTAGGTTGACGCTTCCCTAAAAACTTTCAAGTGCTCGCTCTTGAGTAAATTTGTGAAACATATCGCATTAATATAAATTAAGCAGAAGTTATGAGTCTTTCAATCACGGTATATAACAGAGAAGTTAGTTTATTTACGCAAGTTCTAAAATCATCTAAGAATAACGAATTACTATACCTTGCAAATCCATGTCGTGTTTGAAACTCTTAGTCTCTTCGATCACGCGACGAAGTTTGGTATCCTAGTTTGGTATTACTAGATCCTGTAATATTAGGTCATTCCGAAAGTAATTTCGCTTTTTTCAGACGGGCGCCACATTTGATAGAACAAAGGTTTTTAAGAGATCTTGGATGTATTCGATGCAGAATTTCATTATCTTTCTAAAGCTTATAAAACTGTTGCAAAACCTTTGATGAGCTTTCAGAAAATAACCAAAATTTGCGACCCGTGCTTTTTGAGATGGTCAAGTTTCACGATTTTTTAAAACTTTCATATCAATCTGTAGAAGGAGTTCAAGCAACTGTTCGATAGAGTAAACCTTATAGAATACAGAACTGCTTTTTTCCCTTTTCATATCTTGTCTTACATTTTTAACAGAATTTTAACTGATGATACCGATTTCCATAATTGGGCAGCTAAATTCTCGTAGAACATCAAAAGAAGAGCAGCTCGCGCATTATTCGATGCAGCGTTTTCTCCTCTTTCTAGCAGGTACTTTCGTTATCGATTCGTTTAGTTTCCGGGTATAAATCATCATAACTCATTTTTTAGCGGCTCTAACCGAAAAACACGAAATTTGATATGTCGAATCCGTAAACCCTCACTTGCTTTGTAAAATTAATGCTGTTCCGTTTTTTGTCCATTTTTTTCTCTTTCACCTTAATACCTGAATCTGTGTTCTCGCTGCTTGCACGCCTCACAATGAGATCAGTAAAGGAGGAGCAATGGGCGGGTCTTGACCTCTGAGACGCGAAGGTGCTAGAACCCTCCTGGGTGCGAATGCTGGTGCGAAGTTGGTGCGAGGAAAGGTGCTAGGAACTCCTGCACGCCCTCCTAAATCGAGCACCCTACACATTATGAGTCGTGCCAATAACCTCTACCCCTTTGATGCATCTCATGAAGAAAAATGCAAATTTTGTCACAGATGTAGCAAATCATTTTAGGTTAATGCTAGGAGTACATCTCTTATGTGCCCTGAAGATATAAGTCCACCAGTGGCGTACCAAGGGGAGAGGGGTAGGGCGCTTCTCGAGAATGGGTCGCGAAATTTTTTAAAGCTACTCAAATGTGTTATAAAAATGTGCAGAGGACTTGTTTTTACTTGTAAATGATCAAAATACTTTTTTAAAATTTTTAAGAGTTCAAATAACCTTTAAATTTTTCGGGAGCGTGGCCCGCCACGCCCCCTTTTTCTGAAATTCGGGTCAGGGGCCGGAAAATTCTTGGGAAGGATCCCAGAAAATTTTTCGGTGTGCGTGGCCAACGCCACACACCTTCATCCAAAATACTTGTGCCCCCCCCCCCCCCCCGAATGGAAATCCTGGCTACGCCACTAAAGTCCACATAAGATTATTTAACATTTCATTGAACAGGCACACATAGTTCATTCTTTACTATTTCAGGAAGAGTTCATGGTCGGCTTACGGACTCAAGAGGTTTCAAACCACATCACTGGGGTGTTTTCATTGAGTGCACTTTGTTTCACTTTCGAAAAGTGCTGAACTTGGTAATATCCCACTGTATTTCACTTACATATGAGATAACAGATTGTAGGATAATTACTTCAACAACATGATCACGCTTGACCGGGCCATTATTATATGGAGGACAGTGCTGCGAGTGCTCATCAAACGAATGAAGGTAAGGGTGTCAAAATGTCTCATTTTTTTCTGCTCATCAGAGCATTTTGAGGTTGGTTTGGCAACTGATCTCAGAAACCGCCAGGCTAATAAAGATGCCGAAGAGGGTGGGTCAACATCAGGACAAAGCTCTCCCGTGGCCGATCCAAGTGAGTCAGCATTTGTTCACATTCCATATTTACCACGAAGCTGACGAGACAAATCAAATGGTGCCATTTTATTGGTCTCTGATATCTCTCAATGTAAAGTTAAGATATTCGTAATTTGAACAGTGACTTCGCAAAGAAAATTCTGGGCACCAATGTTAGTACTCGCAACCAACCGAACCAAGTTGGACGTACGATAAACATACGTCGTTGAAACATGATTCGCGACGTGGCGCCGATTACGATTAAAGCGGTCTCTCATCTGACTTCAATTTGATTTTTTGCAATGTCTGAACTACGGGCCTGGAAGTTAGTACTGTGGCATAAAGCGAGCATGCTGTTCACGATAACAATTTCCTGAGATTTCAAGTCATTTTTCGGTTTTACTGATTTTTTCTAAACTTTGAGTTACAGGAGGGAGCGGAGATGGATAAGAAGATGTGTGATTGCGATAACATAATCGGAAAGGGAGTTTAGTATAGGGGAGTGAAACAAGGACAGCAAAATCTTGTACAAAGGTATGGAATGAATTTCACTACAACGTATTAAAGGAAAGCTGGTATGGCGGCCAGAGATGCCAAGAAGATTCTACACATCTATCAGGAAGACGTAGACCCATGAAAAACTTTAGTTGACCTTCAGATCGAAAGTAACGGAGAAATTTCGATGGATAGTCGAAGACAACACAAGATGAAAGTCTGCAGTGCAAACAGTTACTGCGATGAGACACTTGTATCTACAGTGAGCAAACAGCGTATCAAAAGCAACTGTGGATCACATGACAAAATGTGCAAGAACAAGAGTGCGAGTAGTAAAGCTGAAATTTAATTACTTTACAGCGGAAGACCTGCCACTGCGGAAGTTATTGCAAAAGTGATATGTGCATTTAGTCGTACCCTATTTTCAGGTGTATAAGCCGCACCCTTTTTGCTCTAAACGCGAGCGGACCCAGGCGTGCCGCCACGCATATGTCTCGCGATGCGGTCGCCTTATCGCATACTGCTCTCACTTAACGCGCTCCATGATGACAGTCAGTCTTTTGGCGTGTTCGCCTTTAGAGCGAAAAGGGTGCGGCTTATACACCTGAAAATAGGGTAGTGGTTTTTAATAAGTAAACATGCGAAAAAGAAACACTGGGGTCAGAAACAAAAACGAAATTTTGGATCATTCTTCTTATCAAACGCTATTTCTTGTTGCAAGATCCAAAAACTCAAGTTTCATGCCAATAATGCGCCCCGCTCGACAACCGCGTTTCATCACGATTCCACGTTTCAACGCTGTGGGTTTACCATAAGTCCTAAGTAGGGGCACAGCATGCCTTCTAGGAAGAATTCTGCTTTCAAATTGGTTTGGGGAAGCCTCTGTTGCGGCACGACCGAGTCCATGCTTTCCCTCCCACCGTCGAGCCATGCCGCTATGTTATAATCTAAGCTACGGCGACGACGCTGCGTGTGCAACAACGGGGGGGGGGAGGGAATGGGAGGGGGTAAGGGAGGGAGACCTTTTTCACTCTCTGATTTCAAAATGAAGGATTGGCGGGGGGGGGGAGGTGCTCGCTCTTGCCATTTCAATGCTCATTAGAGTAGATTTCCTAAAATAGCAAAAAACATTTTTAAGCCGAGACTTTGCCTAGCCACTGTGTCTACTGTGTTTGCTCATCTTTCTGACATCTTATGAACCCTGTACTTTCACGTTGCTCACTTCGAGTAAATTCATTCTGTTTTCGCCGATTCTGAGTATATGGGCCGTCCGCTTTTTTCGACGAGTTCAGCGCTGCACTTATGAACAAAAGAGGGATCAAACGAGAAAGCGGCTAAAGTGCGCGGGAAAAGGATTGAACCAGACTGCGCGGCGTAGCAGCGTACGTCGCGTGCGCTGCCGGAAAAATGCCGAGCGCTGCGTACGTCGCGTACGCCGCGAAGTCTGGCTCAACCGAAAGAGTAGTCATGCTGGTCCAAAATTCCGCAGCCAGCGAAAACGAACGGCCCATAGGTGCTTTGAAGTGTAGGTATCTATTTCTGATAATTCATTTGCAGGATTACGTTACTAAAGTAAGATTTTATCGTATGTTCGTGTGTTGGAAGTGCAAACTCCATTGATTCGCAATGATCGGATTATGCACCGTATGCCAGCAAGTATATGGCTTTTGTAGTTTACTAGCTGAGATCGCTCGCTCGCTTCGCTTATATGACCGCATCGCAGTTCAATCGGCCCTGCCGGGGGGGAATTCTATAGCGCACAAACGGATTAACCATCATCATCATTTATTACATAGGATATCCTATGCATTGAACATCAACATAGAAGTATTACAAAACATAAAAAAAACTTGTTAGTAACACAATACAAAAAAAAAAACGAACATGACAGATTTTCATTGAGAAAGCAAATAGTCCTCTAAAAGCATTTTAAACTGTGAAAGCTTCACAGGAAGCATTCCTCTTCTCATCAATTTATCCAGATCACTACTAATTCTGTTAACAAAGAATCTCCTCCTCACATTTCTCCTTGCTCTAGGTATAACTATCTTTCTTGAACCTCCCCTGGTTTTAGAACTCCTGGTTTCAAAAAAGGAGAATGGGTCGAGATGATAATCTTTGAATATAATCTTGTGAGCTGTGATAAGATCAAACATCCTCCTTCTCGTGGCTAAACTGTATAGCCCGAGCTCCTTGTTTCTGAGCGTCCCTTTGGGTAATTGTTCATATCGAAAGCCTTTAGTCCGTATAAGCAATTTCCTTGTAAAATTATTCTGTACCTTCTCATGCACTCGAATTGAACTGGTTTTTGTAGGGTTGAAGACTACAGTACCATATTCTAGTAACGGCCTGATATAAGTTTTATAAGCCCTAATGAGCAGGCACGTGTCACTAGTTGATAATGCTCTGAATAAATTATAAACAGCTGCATTACCTTTGGCAGCAACTACTTCACAATGCTTATCGAAACAAAGGCTGCTATTAACCAGAAAGCCTAAGTCTTTTACTTCATTGACATAGTCAAGGTCCTATCCTTCAATTTGATATCGATAATCTGAGTCGGTAGTACCAATGTGCAGTACCTTGGTTTTTTCCCGAGATATGGGTAGTTTCCAATCTACCGACCATGCAACCACTGCATCTAGCGCTCGCTGAATCTTAGCTCTATCTTGGGCTGTTGCCACTTCACTATAAATTTTGAAATCATCAGCAAATCCGCAACACGACACTCCGAATCTAGAGACTAATTGAGGAAGATCATAAGTATAGATGTTAAAAAGAATTGGTGACAGGACGCCACCCTGCGGTACCCCACTAGTCATCCTTCTGAGCTTTGAGAAAGTACGATTGATATGAACAGTGAATTTGCGATTAGATAAAAAGGCAGAAATCCAGGCGATTATGCATGGGTGTATTCCTATTGATTCCATTTTAAGAATGAGTTTTGAATGCGGTACTTTATCAAAGGCTTTGGTGAAATCTAGATAAACAACATCGGTACTTCTGCCAGAATCTAGGGACAGGGTCCAGTCATTGAGCGTATATAGCATGGAGGTTACGGTTGATTTACCCTTTTGGAATCCATGCTGCGCTTGCGGTATTATGTTATGTTCTTGTAAATGCTTCGTTATCTGAATTTTGATCAACTTTTCAAAAAGGCGCGCAAATATGGACGTTATGCTTACGGGACGGTAATTATGAATGCATGTATGAGGCTTTTTCTTTGGTATAGGAGTTACAAAAGAGATTCTCCATCTTTCAGGAACTTCTGACCTCAGTAGACTCAAATTGAATATAAACTGCAATGGCCTTGAGATGATGTGGGCTACTTCTTCAATAAAATGCAAAGGTATAAAATCCGGAGTTAGAGATTTTGATCGAGGCCATTTCCGAAGCAGTTTATAAATTTCGAAATCATCAAAGTAGTGAAACTCTTTCATCTTTTCAAAAGTGAGTTGCATAGGGGCTTGATATGATGAATGGTCTTCGCTAACAAAAACCTCTTCAAAGACCCTGGCAAAATTCTCAGCTTTTTCAAGCTCCGAGGTCAGGATGTTCCCAGAATCAGACATGATAGCTCCCACCACTTTTCTATCTTTGAGTCTTGCATTAAGTAGGCGGTAGAATGCAGCCCTATTACCGGTTTTGATTATCTTTCTTTCTAGATATGTGTTAAATCTTCTGAGTTTCTTTTCAAAACTTGAGTTTATATTTTTGAATTTCATCAAATCTTCTTCCCTATCTGTAGATCTAAATCTAAACCAAGCTGCCTCTCGGACCCTGGACAACTTTGCTATGTGTGACGGTATATGCTGTCTATTTGATGGCACCGTCTTCATTGGGATAAAGAGATCAATTGCATGTTGGATTACAAAAATCAACATTTCGTACATCTCGTTTACACTATTGACCGTACTGAAGGAACCGATCCAGTCCACATTCTCCAAGTATTGGACGGCACCCTTCATATCTCCATTCTTATAATCTCTTTTTAAAATGAAATCATTCGAGCGCGGATTCGTGCTACGCATGCAAAAACTGATCATTACGTGATCACTTGACCCAATAGGTGGATTTGCTTTCACAGCAGTGATCAAAGAATCATCATTGGTTAAGATCAAATCTAGAACATTTGTTCCAAGTGTCCAGAACTTAACTTCCTAGCAGAGGTCTAGATTTAGGCACATATTCAAGAAAGTTTTGGCTGCGCGATTGGATTTACTCATTTTCATCTTGTTCCAGTCAATTTCAGGGTAATTAAAATCCCCCAGCACAATTGAGTGAAGGTTGGAAGCTATCAAGTCCGATATCGTTTTACTCAATTGATCTGATAAGTAGTAGGGGCAGGATGGCGCTCTGTAGACCAATATCACACGGGTTGTCGTGTTGTTTGTATGTATATCCAAGCTAATCAATTCATAGCCCTCATTGACTGATTCATCAAAAACAAGATGCTGGCAGAGCAATTTACTGATCAATAAGGCGACACCTCCTCCTTTCCTGAGTCGGCGATCACATCTGTAGACAAAGTAAGTGGAGCACAAATCCCCAAAGAGAGCTGAATCAGTAATGTTGTAATCGGGATTTAGCCAAGTTTCGGTGATTGCAATCACATGAGCAGGAGTATTGAAGAGAAGAAACTTTAGGGCGATATTTTTCTGTAGAGATCTGATATTCATCAAGAAGCATGATAAAGGACCATTTACTTTCCTGAGAGTAACTAATGGTTTAAATAATTCGACAATGGAGAATTAGAAGTTCGATTCAACGACACATTAGACTGAGTTGACAAAGCATCCATTCGATTTTCTTGAAAAGCATTTGGAGAATTACTAGCAACATTGTTTTTACACGTACTAGGCTTACGTTGACGATCTAGTTTGATCTTAGCTCTTTCCTCTTGGGAAAGAGATGGGCGTACATATAGACCTTTTTTGAATGGAAAATACTTTAAAGAAGGAGCACGCTTGAGGGTTAGATTAACAAAGAAAGAACAAGGTAAAATTACTTTCAATAACCTATCTCTAGAGGGACTAGGTCGGCCCATTCTATAAACCGTAACAGGAGACAATCAATATTAAGGAAGTCAAGTACTTGACCTACGCATAGGAAATCGTGATTAGTCCTGTAACTGCTAGGTCCTCCTCTGCTTTCTGGTACTCCAGCGAAGACAAGTGACCTCTTTCTTTCCATTTCTTCCCAAACGTTGCCATTGTTCGATGCCATGTCTCCATTTGGGGGGATGCTGGGGCTGCTCGAACGTCTGTTAATAATATCTTTTAATCTCTGATTTTCAGCCTTAAGCGTTACGATTTCCTCTGATAGCTTTCTCACGTCCGTTATTAACTCACGGTTACTTTGCATGAGGTCGTCCATTCCTTTTCGACTGTCCACCAGATAAGCAATGATCGTTCGAACATGGAGTGGTAGGCTATCGTCCTTTGTCAATTCCATCGCGGCCTCGAAGAAATCCGGCGAACCTGGTGGACTGTCCTCGAATTGCAGTTTCCTCTTCTTCTGACGCTCGGCAGGTCCGAGTGGGTAGATGGGGGTTTCATTGATCATCTCAGACATTGAATAATCCAGACGACGTCGTAGATTGCCGGAGAAGTAGTAGCACGGAGTCGAAGGGAGGGGGGGAGAGGTCGGTAGGCAGGCGACAGCGTGATCGATGACCCGACCGCTCACGGTGGACTCACGTTGCAGAATGAAGAATATAGAATATATGGGCCGTCCGCTTTTTCGCGGAGTTCAGCGCTGCCTTTATGAACAAAAGAGGGATCAAACGAGAAAGCGGCTAAAGTGCGCGGGAAAAGGATTGAACCAGACTGCGCGGCGCAGCAGCGTACGTCGCGTGCGCTGCCGGAAAAATGCCGAGCGTGCGTACGTCGCGTACGCCGCGAAGTCTGGCTCAACCGAAAGAGTAGTCATGCTGGTCCAAAATTCCGCAGCCAGCGAAAACGAACGGCCCATAGGTGCTTTGAAGTGTAGGTATCTATTTCTGATAATTCATTTGCAGGATTACGTTACTAAAGTAAGATTTTATCGTATGTTCGTGTGTTGGAAGTGCATACTCCATTGATTCGCAATGATCGGATTATGCACCGTATGCCAGCAAGTATATGGCTTTTGTAGTTTACTAGCTGAGATCGCTCGCTCGCTTCGCTTATATGACCGCATCGCAGTTCAATCGGCCCCTGCCGGGGGGGGGGAATTCTATAGCGCACAAACGGATTGACCAGATTGATACAGAGATTGAGTTTGTTTGGTAGAAAGATTTAAACCTTAACAATCAAGCTTCATACATTGATAAAGAATTCGAGTCATATGCTCTAATGAAAAATCTTAAGTTCTCAAAGCTTTTTTACCAAATCGTCGTCCATGATACTCAGCATGTTCTCTTTTTCGTCTTCTTCGTTATACACAATTTTCAGGCAGTGCTAATTCTGTGACTCTACCTGCAAATTCGTGGACAGTCCACCAGGTTCGCCGGATTTCTTCGAGGCCGCGATGGAATGACAAAGGACGATAGCCTACCACTCCATGTTCGAACGATCATTGCTTATCTGGTGGACAGTCGAAAAGGAATGGACGACCTCATGCAAAGTAACCGTGAGTTAATAACGGACGTGAGAAAGCTATCAGAGGAAATCGTAACGCTTAAGGCTGAAAATCAGAGATTAAAAGATATTATTAACAGACGTTCGAGCAGCCCCAGCATCCCCCCAAATGGAGACATGGCATCGAACAATGGCAACGTTTGGGAAGAAATGGAAAGAAAGAGGTCACTTGTCTTCGCTGGAGTACCAGAAAGCAGAGGAGGACCTAGCAGTTACAGGTCTAATCACGATTTCCTATGCGTAGGTCAAGTACTTGACTTCCTTAATATTGATTGTCTCCTGTTACGGTTTATAGAATGGGCCGACCTAGTCCCTCTAGAGATAGGTTATTGAAAGTAATTTTACCTTGTTCTTTCTTTGTTAATCTAACCCTCAAGCGTGCTCCTTCTTTAAAGTATTTTCCATTCAAAAAAGGTCTATATGTACGCCCATCTCTTTCCCAGAGGAAAGAGCTAAGATCAAACTAGATCGTCAACGTAAGCCTAGTACGTGTAAAAAACAATGTTGCTAGTAATTCTCCAAATGCTTTTCAAGAAAATCGAATGGATGCTTTGTCAACTCAGTCTAATGTGTCGTTGAATCGAACTTCTAATTCTCCATTGTCGAATTATTTAAACCATTAGTTACTCTCAGGAAAGTAAATGGTCCTTTATCATGCTTCTTGATGAATATCAGATCTCTACAGAAAAAATATCGCCCTAAAGTTTCTTCTCTTCAATACTCCTGCTCATGTGATTGCAATCACCGAAACTTGGCTAAATCCCGATTACAACATTACTGATTCAGCTCTCTTTGGGGATTTGTGCTCCACTTACTTTGTCTACAGATGTGATCGCCGACTCAGGAAAGGAGGAGGTGTCGCCTTATTGATCAGTAAATTGCTCTGCCAGCATCTTGTTTTGATGAATCAGTCAATGAGGGCTATGAATTGATTAGCTTGGATATACATACAAACAACACGACAACCCGTGTGATATTGGTCTACAGAGCGCCATCCTGCCCCTACTACTACTATCAGATCAATTGAGTAAAACGATATCGGACTGATAGCTTCCAACCTTCACTCAATTGTGCTGGGGGATTTTAATTACCCTGAAATTGACTGGAACAAGATGAAAATGAGTAAATCCAATCGCGCAGCCAAAACTTTCTTGAATATGTGCCTAAATCTAGACCTCTGCTAGGAAGTTAAGTTCTGGACACTTGGAACAAATGTTCTAGATTTGATCTTAACCAATGATGATTCTTTGATCACTGCTGTGAAAGCAAATCCACCTATTGGGTCAAGTGATCACGTAATGATCAGTTTTTGCATGCGTAGCACGAATCCGCGCTCGAATGATTTCATTTTAAAAAGAGATTATAAGAATGGAGATATGAAGGGTGCCGTCCAATACTTGGAGAATGTGGACTGGATCGGTTCCTTCAGTACGGTCAATAGTGTAAACGAGATGTACGAAATGTTGATTTTTGTAATCCAACATGCAATTGATCTCTTTATCCCAATGAAGACGGTGCCATCAAATAGACAGCATATACCGTCACACATAGCAAAGTTGTCCAGGGTCGAGAGGCAGCTTGGTTTAGATTTAGATCTACAGATAGGGAAGAAGATTTGATGAAATTCAAAAATATAAACTCAAGTTTGAAAAGAAACTCAGAAGATTTAACACATATCTAGAAAGAAGATAATCAAAACCGGTAATAGGGCTGCATTCTACCGCCTACTTAATGCAAGACTCAAAGATAGAAAAGTGGTGGGAGCTATCATGTCTGATTCTGGGAACATCCTGACCTCGGAGCTTGAAAAAGCTGAGAATTTTGCCAGGGTCTTTGAAGAGGTTTTTGTTAGCGAAGACCATTCATCATATCAAGCCCCTATGCAACTCACTTTTGAAAAGATGAAAGAGTTTCACTACTTGATGATTTCGAAATTTATAAACTGCTTCGAAATGGCCTCGATCAAAATCTCTAACTCCGGATTTTATACCTTTGCATTTTATTGAAGAAGTAGCCCACATCATCTCAAGGCCATTGCAGTTTATATTCAATTTGAGTCTACTGAGGTCAGAAGTTCCTGAAAGATGGAGAATCTCTTTTGTAACTCCTATACCAAAGAAAAAGCCTCATACATGCATTCATAATTACCGTCCCGTAAGCATAACGTCCATATTTGCGCGCCTTTTTGAAAAGTTGATCAAAAATTCAGATAACGAAGCATTTACAAGAACATAACATAATACCGCAAGCGCAGCATGGATTCCAAAAGGGTAAATCAACCGTAACCTCCATGCTATATACGCTCAATGACTGGACCCTGTCCCTAGATTCTGGCAGAAGTACCGATGTTGTTTATCTAGATTTCACCAAAGCCTTTGATAAAGTACCGCATTCAACTCATTCTTAAAAGTGGAATCAATAGGAATACACTACACCCATGCATAATCGCCTGGATTTCTGCCTTTTTATCTAATCGCAAATTCACTGTTCATATCAATCGTACCTTTCTCAAAGCTCAGAAGGATGACTAGTGGGGTACCGCAGGGTGGCGTCCTGTCACCAATTCTTTTTAACATCTATACTTATGATCTTCCTCAACACACACG